TTGTTGCTATTTTCTTGAGTCGTTGTTGCTGTCTTGCACATATTACTCACTGCATTTTGCTAACAATATTGTTACAGCTTTATTGCACAAGGAATTACAGTATTGCTTTATGTTAGTAGGTACACTCTGCTTGCTTTCAGATAAAATATTCTGTGTTATTCTGTATTGTGTTCTGCGTGAATTCAGAGGCACGGCTTTGTCAACGCCATTGTGTTGTGGGAACGTAAGATAAATTGTCCGTATGTTCATAGATCTTGAATGATTACTCCTTGATAACGGAAAGAGAGAGAAAGAGAGAGAGAGAGGGAGGGAGAGAGAGAAAGAGAAAGAGTAGAAACTGAGAATGGAAAGAGAGAGAGAGAGAGAGACAGAGAAAGAGGGAGAAAGAGTAGACATTGCTTTCAGATAAAACATTATGTGACTTTCTGTATTGTGTTCTGCGTGAATTCAGAGGCACGGCTTTGTCATTGCCTTGATGCTGAGGGAACCTAAGATAAATTGCCTTTATTTTCATAGATCTTGAATGATTACTCCTTGATAACGGAAAGAGAGAGAAAGAGAGAGAGAGAGAGAGGGAAGGAGAGAGAGAAAGAGAAAGAGTAGAAACTGAGAATGGAAAGAGAGAGAGAGAGAGACAGAGAAAGAGGGAGAAAGAGTAGACATTGCTTTCAGATAAAACATTATGTGACTTTCTGTATTGTGTTCTGCGTGAATTCAGAGGCACGGCTTTGTCAACGCCATTGTGTTGTGGGAACCTAAGCTAAATTGTCCTTATGTTCATAGATCTTGAATGATTACTCCTTGATAACGGAAAGAGAGAGAAAGAGAGAGAGAGAGAGGGAGGGAGAGAGAGAAAGAGAAAGAGTAGAAACTGAGAATGGAAAGAGAGAGAGAGAGAGACAGAGAAAGAGGGAGAAAGAGTAGACATTGCTTTCAGATAAAACATTATGTGACTTTCTGTATTGTGTTCTGCGTGAATTCAGAGGCACGGCTTTGTCAACGCCATTGTGTTGTGAGAAGCTAAATTGTCCTTATGTTCATAGATCTTGAATGATTACTCCTTGATAACGAATACGTACATAATACACCAGGGCATCACGGGCGGTATTCACGAAAGTTCTAAGACTTTTCAAAGTTAATGCTGGTAATATAATTAACATGTAAATCGTTATAGATCCTATATTCATAAGCTATTGTAATGATAAGATAAGGTAAATATGGCAATGAATCTTAGGGATATCACAACGATAATATTTAGCACATTTTGTATATTTAGATGTAATGTGCCATACTTGTGATTATTGTCATTGCATCAGTTGAAAAGGCGGGTGATAATATATATATTTTTTTATATGAAATAAAGCAATAAAAAACGTAGGAGACGGATCAGTGAACAGTTGATAATTAATCAAAAGTGGCTTCGAAGTTTTTCTTGTTATTTCCAAAGCGGAATAATCTTCAACCAAGGAAAATCTAAGAATAGCTGTAATTAAGAATAGCTGTAAAATGTAAGAAACGCAGATGCCAAATCATATTTAAATATACTAATTGTGTAATATTACAGTTGTGATATCAGTATTTATTGTCATATGTTATTATTACTATCCTCTCTCTCTCTCTCTTTCTCTCTTTCCTCTCTCTCTCTCCTTCTCTCTCTCCCCTTTCTCTTTCCTTTCTTCTCTCTCTCTTTTATCCTCTCTCTCTCTTTCTCTCTCTCTCTCTCTTTCTCTTCTCTCTTTCTCTTCTCTCTCTCTCATCTCTCTCTCTGTTCTCTCTCTCTCTCTATTTCTCTATCTCAGTCTCTATCGCGTCTTCTGTCGTCTCTCCTCTCTCTCTCGTCTCTCTCTCTCTCTCTCTCTGTCTCTCTATCTATCTATCTAATCTCATCCGCTTCATCTCTCTCCCTCTCTGCTATTCTCTCTTCTCCTCTTCCTTCTTTCTTTTCTCTCACTCCCTCCTCTCTCTCTCTCCTCCTCCTCTGTCTCTCTCTCTCTCTCTCTCTCTCTCTCTCTCTCTCTCTCTCTCCTCCTCTCTCTGTTCTCTCTCAATAGCTTATGAAAATGGTCTATAACGATTTACACGTTAATCACATCACCGGAATTAACTTTAAAATATTAACTTTGAAATAATAACTTTGAAAAAAAAAAAAAAAAGCACAAATCAGAGACAGAATCGCACAGAACAGCCTTTAGACCTTTCGTGAATACCTCCGCTGGAAATCTTTATTAATCATGAATCATTTAATATCATTGCTCTCATGCTGATGATGCTGAAAGTTGCAAAAAAAAAATATAATTCCTCATAGCTTACGTGTGTCCTTTTACTTACTTTGTGTCAGTATGATGTGCTTCTGTTATTGTTATGATCGTTGGTCCTCTGTTTACATATGCATATTGTTTATTTTTAGGTATATTGCTCGCTTGTATATTTAATACACTTTCATTATAATTTATTCATTATTTTTTATTAGAATGGCATTCTTTGTTTGATGCTTAAGATGTGTTATATGAATGTTTTAGCTTCATTTTCGTGAAGATTTAAAGTGATAAAAAAATAGCAGATACCAAATGTCACTTCATATTTGTTTTTTTTTCCAGCTTTCTCTCCTCTCTCTTTGCTTGTCTTTCGCTTTCTCTTCGATTCTCGATTCTGTGTGAATGTTTTTCTAATTCTCATGCGGGAATATTTTCTCCATCTGTGGACTCTACCCCCTCTTCTGTCTGTTCGTCTGTGTGTGTGTGTGTGTTGTGGTGTGTGGTTGTGTAATGATGTGTGGTCCTGTCTCTGTCTCTCTCATCTCTCCTTGTCCTGTCTGTCTGTGCTAACCATCTCTCAAGACTCTCTCTCTATTTTATGTTTCTATGGAAATTCTCTCCATGTTTGTTTTTCTTGTGTTCCGTTTATTTATTTTATTTTTTTTTTTTTTTTTTTTTTTTTTCTTCTATTCTCGTCCCCTGTTTTCCTTGTTCTTTGTCTTCTTCTCTCTCTTCTTCTGTCCTGTTATTTGTGTTCTTGCTTCTTTTCTATCTTCTTCTTCTCGCCTCTCATTCACTTCACTATCTGTCTGTCTATTCTCTCTCAAAGCTCTCTTCCTTCCTATTCCTTCTCACGACCCGTCTCCCACCATTTCAACCCTCCTCTCCCTCTCAACCATGTCGCTGCAAATCCCAAATAGCTAAACCCATACATTGTCGTATCCTCCACAGGTCGAGGACGAGCGGGTGGCCCTCCAAACTGCAGCTCAACCGACGTGCAGGCTCTTGACTCTAGGCCTTCTTCTATGTGCTGGTCGGAAAGGAACGTATCGGTCCAGACTTCTCAGATTCTTCCTGACGGTGCTCTTAAGGTGATCCTTTGTAAGGGCGACTCTCGGAGCTACGGAAGGATAGATAGCAGAGATGGATGGATGGATGAATGGGTTAGATAGATTATTTAGATAGTGAATGATGTAGGGATGTATGGTTAGGATATGATAGGTAAGATAGATAGTAGATAGAGTAGGTAGATAGATAGATAGATAGATAGTAGATAATGATAAAGATTAGTATTAGAGAGAGAGAGAGCAAATCTGTCTATCTATCTATCTATCTATCTATCTATCTATATGTATGTTATGTATATATGTATATAATTATATGATAATATATATATATATATTAGTATATATATATATATATATTTATTTATTATATATATATTTATATATGTGTATATATATATATATATATATATATATCTATATATTTTATATAATATATTATTTATAATATATATATATATAATATATATATAATATATATATTAATATATTATTATTATAATATATATAATAGAGAGAGAGAGAGAGAGAGAATAGAGGAGAGAGAGAGCGGAGAGAGAGAGAGTGAAGAAGAGAGTGAAGAGAGAAGAATAGATAAAAATAAACAAAATAAAAAAACAAATAGAGATTTTCATAGAGACTAGTGAAAGAGGCAGATGTATTTGCAAAAAGTCCTTTAGATCGCTCCTATCTCTTTGCAGCTCGGCAGCCAACCGTCTATTCCCTTGCAGAACCCGGCACGTCCTCAGAGCAACAGGTGATCACGCAGCTGTCAGGCCCGACGGAGGTGCAATATGGCGAATCAGCTGTTTTCACCTGCAACGTCAGACCTGCTTGGCCAGTCAAGGTGAGTCTGGTGATAGCTGTGGTCCATTATTTGTCACTGTTTATCTTCCTTGTAGTTGTGTGTTCATCTTTTTTCGCATATTAGAATTTTGGTGTGTAATTTTTTTTGTATAGTTGGGTCGGGTTATTTCTTGTATGTTTGCTGAAGGTAATTCTCAATTTATTTAATCTTGTGAATGTTGTTCCCAGCGAGTGTTATTCATGATGGATAAAGTGTAATAAAAAAAAATTGAATTTTCTCCTACTCAAAACCTTTTTCTGGATATTATATATCGGGGGGAAATGGCTAATAATTTTACTTACTCTATTTCCAACTTATTTTGATGTCATTTGCTGCGGATGAAAAGTAGCGATGTGCTAAAAAAGTAATTGATTCATATTTTTTTCCACATTTTAATTAGGAGAGCTAGAAAACACCTGTTGATTTGTCTCCTCTCTCTATTTCTCTTGATTGTGCTCTTTCTCTCTGTTTGTCTCTCTTTCTTTCTCTCTTTCATTCTCTGTTTCTCTTTCTCTCACTTCTCTTTTTTTCTTTCTCTCTCATTCTTCTCGTTTTTTTTCTTGTTTTC